AAAAAAAAAAATTTAATTAAATAAAATAGAATAACAGGTTTTAAAGCAGACCATATCACGCGGATAGCATTGAGACATATTCGTCCTGAGTTTTAAAGTGCAGCCATCCCGCCCAAGTCGTGTGAAAAGTGCTATATGTGTCCTTACTAAAGTGATGGAGTTCTTCCATCAGACGCAGATGGTCCACCCGTGTCAACCACTCTGCCACCGTGGGTGTTTGGTTTGAGCGCCAGTGTGCCAATGCATTTTGAACGTACAAATGGACCCCCTTCATCAGGGCAATCTGGATAAATGACAAGTCATTGTTATGGATAAACAGAAACAAAAGCTTCAGGTTTTCCTTCAGAGGATAGCAAAACTTTTAAACAATTTGGTGTGAACTTACCCCCTTGCCACGCCCATCCCATACACTCTCTCATTACTCACCTGGCATTATCTGGTGACATCCTCCATCTGCCACAGTCTAAGTTGGCGTTAGCCTTTTTGAAGTCTTCTGCATGCTTTCACGTAAAACATTTTAGGGCCTATAGAGAAAGTCTACACATGTGCAGTACACCATAACAACCCCCATCATTAGTGCCAGTGACCCCAGTGAGATCTGGTCCCTGCCACCCAGGTCTGGTGCTAGCAGAAGGCTAAACAGACAGCTGCCTAAAGGCACTAAAATACACTGAACGCAAAGCCGTGCAGAGCGAAGCAAAGCTTTGAGTGCAGTCAGATGATTGACTGCACCTTTAGCCAATCGGTTTGTGCTTAACAACCGGCCAGACGTCGCATCCCGTCGCGCCGGTTTATACTCGCAAGCCGATTGGCTGAAGTTGAAATTGTTCATCTTGGCACGCTCAGTTCCGCGAGCTCTCGCCAGCTGAGGTGCCCAGAAGAAAATAACATGACACACTGCTCGCAAAGGCAGAGCGCCTTCGCTTCGCGTGCAGTGTGTCACGGCCTTTGGAGTGCTGGGGGGAGGGGGACTGATAGCAGAAAATACTTGAAAGGATGGAGTAGATAAAAGTTAATTTAGTGCTGCAGAAGAAAATCCCCCCTACTTGCGACCAGTTAGCTAGCCCAAAATAATCCATCAGCGGGACAATCGGGTCTGCGGGGAGTTGCCAAGACTTCACTGGAGAGATAAGAGGCTTCTTCAGAGAGTCCAGCAGCAGTAAGAGCAGAGATGTAAGCAACAGACTGCGGTCATAAATAAAGGCAGGTGTAGCAGTGATTATTAACCCCTTCTATCCTTGTCTGTGCTGGGCCTGGTCACCAGATGTTCAACCTCTGCCCACGAAGAGTGCACACAGTTCACATTTGCTTTGTGACTCCTGCAATGAAGGAGTTCTCCCAACCTCTAATATCTGTCTGGGACTTCTCATAGCCAGAGATTGTGTTATCTGTCAGAAAATCCCACAGGAAAAATAAATTCTCAAAATAGGGAGTGAAGCAGACACCCCCCTTATCTCTCTGCTTATCCCAGGGATCCTGCAGTTTAGATGCTTTCCATAAGGAAGAAAAAGTAGCTGTCATGGAGGTGTTTTAGCTGGAGAAATAAAAGTGTCAGATCCAGCAGGGTAATAGGCAAGCCTGATCTGCAAATCTCCCCCTGCCCAAGTGACCTGAAGAAAGCGTGACTTTCCATCAGCAATGAGGTTAAAGTCCATCAAAAGCAAAAACTTTTTTTGTTTTCTTTTGATTAAGGATGCACCGATACTTCAGATACCAGTGCAGACACTTGGCATTTTCATGAGAACTACCGGGGTTGCAGCGGTTGCAGCTGGGACCTGGCTCTGGCGCTCCACCACTGTCCTGAAATCATTAGTCTGTATTGTTTTAGAAAAACTGTCACATGACAATAAACAAAAATGTATCAGTACTTATAAGTACTTGGGCAAGTATCAGTACTTGTACTAGCACAAATGGTATCGGTGCATCCCTTTATTTATATTTATAAAAACAAAATCATACATTTAAAACTGAGATGTACAAATCCCAGGAGCTCCGTGTGCTCCTTATAAATGACAGCTGCCTCCTAACATTTGAATTTTTCTCTAGTCTAGTCTTGGAGCTGGAAAAGTATCTGTACTTGTACCGAGTACGGTACTTGGTAACGGTGCATCCCTACTTTTGATGGGTAAGAACCCCTGATAAGTTTGTTGTTGCACTTCAAAATTTTTGTCTTCAAATTGTTGTCCCAAGACCAGGAACTGAAAGAAAATCTTCTAATGTAGTCACTTGTTTCAGTGACCGCTAGAGAGATTTGCTTCAACTCCCTCTTGTGTCTACAGGTGTAGAATTGAAGTAGTGATGTACTAATACCAATTCCAGCATCAGTATATGGAGAGATCACAGTGTATATAGAGATCAGGGTACATATAGAGACAGGGGCGTCCAGAGGCTAGGGAACACCCAGAGCGGAGTCCAGGTGATGCCCCGCTGTGACATCATCTCGCAAGCGTCTTATTGATGCCTGCCGGTGGCCATCTTGGTGATGAAAGCTGGCAGAGAGAGGAGGGGACATTCACCCGGCGGGATGAGGTATGCCGCCGAGTCCCCTCCTACTGGATAGTGAACCCTGTCATATTCTTGCCTGAGAGTACAGCGCTATCACAGGCATTGTTTAAGTGTTGTGAATAGGCGCAGCAGTTGCTGGGCACGGTTTGTATTCCGAAAAATACATGGTGGAAGTTTGGTGGGTAAAGGGTTAACTGCAGTTAACCAACCCTGGTGGCGATCGCTCTGTCTGCTGGCCTGAGATTGTCTCCTGCGAGCTGGGAAATCTCTGCGCAGAGTGAGGCTGAGAGTGGTATCGCCACATCCTTGTGACGCTCGGTTCAGACTTGTGTATGGTCACGTGGGATTGACGTATAGCTGGTTTGGGCCGGGTGTACGTCACAAGCTGCAGGGTGTTTTACAGGTCCAGGGCCATGATCCTTCTATGAAGCCCTGACCCTGAAGACTCCCCCAAGGGGGGTATGCTCCCCCAGATGGCATGCCCCTGCTGACTACTGTGCATCCATGATAAGGATCAAAAGCCCCCATAGTACGCCTTAGGCAGCCTCCACAGGGGATCAGACAGTAGCCCTAGTGGGTTAAATTTGTGGCTCCAGTGCAACTTAAGAATTGCATTCTGACGCAGTAGTTCAGCTTTAGGGGAATTTATTTAGCACCATTAATTTTCCAATGTGGCCTAGGGATCAGGAACTGTACCTGCACAGCCTCCTTACCTGGTACTGTACTGCATTAGTGTCCTGTTTTCCTTTCTGGTATGTGCTTTTCAGCTGAACACATACTTACTGCTGCTGCCACTCTGCGGGAGAAGACTCACTGCCACAGTGCTTTTATTCAAGCCTGGGTCACTTTTTGCTACCTACAGTGCCTGGACACAGAGCACCATTCTCAGCTCTGGGCAAACATACAAGGGATAATAGGTGCAGGGTTACTGGGACAGGGGGCGTGATGGGCCACACAGTCCAGTCGTGGCTCTGGCAAGGGTTCTAGCCCTGTGGTATGTTCCCTATCTTCTTAACTGTTTGCATCTGGGCAGTCCTCTAATGCCTCTGCGGCATCCTTCTCAGATTTCATATATATAAAAGAATTCACCATTGTTATGGTGTATTTTATGGGGAAGATGGCTGACCTCTTTGATACTTCCTGCCATAGGGGCCTCAGGGTCTCTCTGTTGCTCCCTTAGAGACCTCCTCTGCCTGCATTCATACTACCTGAGGAAGGAACTGTTTCCAGTGCTTAGGAGGAGCAAATGAGGTGTTTCAAACAAAATTGTAAAAGTGATTGTGGTTTTTGGATACTTCACAACCGCCAACCAGGTCACACACACTACACCACCGTCTGTACTGGGAACGCCGGATAATAACGTGACCACGTGGAAGTGACGGCCAATCAGCGTACAGGGCGGAGACTGTGCCTGTCCCTCTTTGGTCTGAGCCACACGTATTCTTCCGCAATCAGTATCTTGGCAGCGATGTACGCTGCAATATGGCGGGTACACGAATCCTAGTGCTGGCACTTCCAGCGTGCATTGTCGGAGTGTTGTTGGGCTGTGTCTCTGGCTCGCTGTGTGTATTTGTAGCCGCATTGTGTACACTCGTAGTCCTCGCACTGTTCCGCAGGTCTGGACTTCCCCAGCAGGTGTGTGTGCTGGTTCTGGGCGATGTGGGCCGCAGCCCTCGGATGACGTATCACGCTCTGTCATTGGCTAGAAATGGTTTTGACGTCACGCTAGCCGGCTTCCGTGGTAAGGAGTGCGGTGTGTTGAAGACATGAATGAGAGGTTTGAACTGGCTGACTGGAGTCCCATAACATACTGCAATGCTTTATTGGGGATGGAGAGCTGCAGGATGGTTTTCAATTTAATTTTTAGTTATAAAACCCTCACTGCAAAGGCATATTATTTGTTGAAATGCATTTAATACATTTAGAAATGCCGTTTTATTCGAAGTTCTCAGTTCCTAAAGGTTTTACATATCTTTTTGATTAAAGGCACTGCTGTCTTCTAGATGTGTCACTTCCCTCTTCCGGTAAGGGAGCCAAACCTGGGAACTTTAGGTAGGGTTGCCACCCGTACGGGAATGACCCGGACAGTCCGGTTTTGGAATCCTGTGCCCGGGTACAAGCCTTTTGCAGACCCGGGCACAGGATTCAAGCCCCAGACTTGCTCACCTGACAGCTGGCTGTGAGCGGCGGCGGGCTGTGAGTGGCGGAGGGCGGCCGGCGATGAGGTGTCAGCGGCGGCAGTGGATGAAGTGTCGGCGACGGCCGATCAGCTGT